TTGTGGGACGCTTTACTTTAATTTCAGGACGGTTCAAATAGTTTTTCGGGATGGTTCCGGGACAGAGGTGAAAAAAGTTAATCTGGAGCCCTGGACAGACAGACAAACAGAGAGTCCTCTCTTTTAGTTAGATATGTCACACTAGTTTAAATGCATTTCACTGGGACTTAACTAAACAACCATCCAATCAAGAGCACAGCTAGACTAAAGCATCAGAACAATGAATCAATGATAAATGAATCATAATCCAGCATAAAACAGGACTGTCGCATATCATTTAATGTCACTGATATTTTCCTCCTCTGTTTCACTGAATGATAGCGCTTGTAGGATAGACAACTTATGAAACCTCTTAAAGGATAAGTTTGTTATTCTATAATTTTCATATGGTCAATAAATCCCATGCAAAGTGCATCTCTCAAGACTTCCCTACCCTGTCTGTGGCTCTCCAAACAGCTCACAAATATATTTTTTCATTTTAAGAAAGGACAGGATACATCACTCAACAGTATTAAGTATTGAGGATTAGTCAGTGGCGGATGATTCCTAGTGATCAAGTCTTGCCTATAGTCGACTGATAGTGGAATTGGGGGGGTACTCAGTGTACGGTCGTCTAACTGTCTAGACGACCGTACACTGAGACTGGAAACCAGCACAGTGCTGTGGAAAACCCACTGCTCTGTTACTGAGCTCTGTGTGTGTACAGTTTAGTCAAAGTCTTGAGTCAGCACTAACAGTTTTATTATCCACCTTCTGTCCCTCAGCCTACACACACACCATAACTTTCTAGCAACGGGAACACGCACCCACACACACACATTTGAGAAGCAGGCTGGTTGGCCCACTAAACAGTGACTTCATTGTACAGTTTATGCCAAACAGATTGTAGCCTGCTCCCTCTCCCTCCCTCCTCTTCCTCCCTCCGGTCTTCCTGTCCAACTGGAAAAACAGAGTGGGGAGTGGTCACTGCTTCACTGCTCTAAGTATGTGTGTGTGAGAGAGTCAGACTGTTTTTACTTCTATGTTAGGTTCAAATGTCTCCAGAAGAATAGCAACTCTGTGTGGGTATGGGTGATTTAAGAATGGAGGAATCTGTGTGTGTGTGTGTGTGTGTGTGTGTGTGAGTGTATGTGTGTGTGAGAGAGAGAGAGAGAGAGAGAGAGAGAGAGAGAGAGAGAGTACTTCTCTGTAGTTAGTAGTGCCAGGACAAGAGAGTAGCTCCCACTTTCCTTCATTTCAGATGGCTACAGTTACTGCTGATGTGGAGTACTGGGAAAGTGTACCAGTGCAAGTAGTGTATTCTGGGTGTGCGGTCTGGCAACAAGGAGTGATTGAGCACTGTGGTTGTTATTCTGAAAAGGAGCTATACTCAGTATATGGGATGGGCTTATAATGTAAATTAAATGGTTTGAATTATTGTAGGGCTGAAAAGGAAAGACTGATCTGACTTTTTAGTCAAGTAAACGTCTCTCATCTTGTCTGTCAAATATCAATCTTAAGGGTTTCAGCTAGGGCTTAACGATTTAGGGGGGAAATCGGATTGTGATTTTTCTGCCAGGTATTGCGATTCCGATTCGATTTGTGATTATTTTTTAGTGTAGCTGAACTTCAATTTTCACTGCCAGTCTATTTTTGACAAAATACACGTCAAGCACCACAGAGCAGATGGACCAGGCAGGAAGTCAGACACAGAATGGCAGAGAGAATCCGGTCGATTTTCTAAATAAAATACCCTGTGCAGACTCCCGATCGTATATCAACAATAAACACAGTTAACAGACAAAAAGAGAAACAATTTCACTACGTAGCTTACTTAGGCAGAAGCACAAAAATCAAGGACAGCTGAACGGCTCCACTGCCGAAACACTTCAGTGTTGTCGGACAAAACTATACAGCCGCTGCGTGTATCTGTTCAACTGACGCCATAATCCCATGTTTTTCTCTAGTTTTGTTTGTTGTTGTAAAATGTACACGCCCTGTGCCCACTCAGATTGGTGAGTAGGACCGTAACAGGAGGTGCATGGCGCTTGTGATAGGTTAGCAAATCGCAATTTTGATTTGAAAACAATTAACCATTCTGCCCGAGTTTCAGCAAAAATGACATGTAAAACATTACAGTGCCAGTTGCACTTTTTTAAAAATCAGTCATGACAAAATCGTTCAGTTGCTAGTTTGTACTCTTCATCTATTCACAATGTTATTTGGAGTACAAATATGTTGTAATCATTTCCTACACAAAGCCACAGCGTACATGCATATCACAGTAAGCTAACCTTCTGCAGCTGCGGCTGTTGCAGTGTGTTCAAATGCAACTTATAAGCTGTGAAGCTATGGGACCCAATGCAGTTGATATTTGTTGGTACTATGTAGAACTTTGAAGTGGGATGTCACGACCACCCATGCCGTATGCAATTGCCATGTGACTGAACACAACAATGAGCTCATAGTCTGGCTTTGTATGGGGGAAGAGGTGCAGCAGAGATAGTATGGCAGCTGAGCGTGACTGAAAAGTGCAGATTATGCTGAGATGAACATCTCCACAGTAAAGGCAAAGATAACTTAATTTATTGTTAGGGACTACATCCATAGCCTCTGTAGCTATGAAATAGGCTACACAGTAATTGGTGTGCCTTCTCAAAAGTGTAACTACAACTACATGTATTATCACAATTAGTAAAAGTGCCATTTCTTGAGACTCAGCAAAAACATCTGGTGTTAACCACGTTCAATCAATGTGAACAGCAAAGTGTCCTAAATAAGGACCTTAATAAGTGAAAGCATAATTTGGCAAAACAGATGTTTAGGGCTACTAGCTGACGAAATTTGCATCCACCTCTTTTCTCAGTATAAAAGAGCGTTAGCTCCCGCGAGGTGTAAGCAATTCACGGCAGACATGCAGATGTTGACGCTGTTTTTATTCCCCTATCTATCAAGTCGGCGAAAGTCAGCCAGTTATCTCGAACGCACCTGTTGACTACCAGTTATACAGTGTGCTAACTTTGACAGCAGTTTTCCAAAGTTAACATAGCTCTCCTTATTAGCTAGGCTCCTTACATGCTTGCTAATAACTGTTTTGAAGATGGGTCTCCGACACTGACAGCGTTGTGTTGGACAGATTTGTGAAGTGGTGTTTATGAGAGAGAGAGAGAGAGAGAGAGAGAGACGCTAATGCATACCCTGATTTATCATCTATGTTCCTCTAAATGGGACCATCATTTACTAAATGAACATCATGCTGTGTTGAAGAAAATTTAAAACTAGACTGAGACCATAAACTCATTAGAAAAGTGTTTACTGAGCCTCATTTTCTCATAGACTTTCTATACAACTAAACTTATTTTGCAACCAGTCGCCCCCTGCTGGCTATTAGAAAGCATGCACGTTTAAGGCACTTTCATATTCACCTCACTTTTCAGATTGTCTAGATTATAGATACAGTCCACGAGTGTAAAGCAAAGCGTTTTGGTTTCACAGTGTCTGAAACCAGTTAAAAGTTGAAACACTAATGATTGAGTTTGCGCTCAGGGCCAGAGCATAGTAATAAACATTTCTGTAGTAGTAAACATTTAAGTGTGGGTTCATTTACAAACACAGATCTGTAAGAGATCTATTAAATGTAGAGGACTCAAAAAAAACAGGATAATTTCTACCATTTGTTTGTAAACCTTTAAAGTAGTATTTTTTACAGGTACACGTTATCCTGTGCTGACACTGTCCAGTTTACCACGTTTTAAAGAATCCCATTTCAACTGCCAAACTAGAGGTGTGTGCGTGTGTGTGTGTGTGTGTGTGTGTGTGTGTGTGTGTGTGTGTGTGTGTGTGTGTGTGTGTGTGTTAGTGTGCAAGACTCTGTCCAGGTCAGGCCAGACTCCATGGAGAGACAAGAAGACTGTCACTATCGTGTGTGCGTGTGTGTCTTCTATGATAAATAGGACAGGACACTGGGGATCTGCAGACGGTACCCTGCATCAAACTAGGCTATAAAAACAGCACTGCAAAACACACTGCAACGCACCCATCTTCACGCTTGCTGCAGAGCTTTTTAAATGGACTACATTACGAGTTGTTAACGAGTAGTTTTAAGCACTTTTTACCATTTTGCTGGCAATAGGCAGGCTACATCTGTGATCTCTGGCTTATTTTAGAGTATTTTGCCAGACACATCATTAAACAGCAAATCTTTGCATGCAATTATAGAGAAGAACCAAATGGCTGTTGTGCATCACCCATGTGGGTGCTTCTCATTGTTGGGGGATCAGAGTTGTCCCCCCTCCCTTCACAAAAAGTGCTTTGGGTATCTAAGATAAAGCACTATATAAATCTAATACATTATTATCGTTATTATTATTAGTAGTAGTAGTAGTAGAAGTAGAAGTAGTAGTACTATTAATAAAGCAAATCTCCTTTAACTCCCAAAACATTAAAATAATAGGAAAATTTCTTTCTCATCTTTTTCAGTTCAGTTTAGAGAACGACCGACAATCAGCCTGGTCGATTATCGGCTCCAGAATTCCTACATTTTTTAACCAGATTGCCAATAAAATAAATAAAATCTAAAATGTGATACTTTGGCTCTGATGCACTCACTCAATATCCCGCCCACAGCACTATCTGATTGGTTACATGTAACGAGTGGTCGCCTATCAACAGTGAAGGCTGCTGTGCCACAGATGAGAGACCGTGTGTCGAAGTGAAGACTGCAGATATTACTAAAGCTGCTATGTATGGAAAATATGGAAGGTTAAGAGTTAAATTTAACTGGTTTAAACCATTACACTAAGTAAAATGGCAAACTGTCATTTTCACACTTTTGTTAAAACAAGATACTCTGTGTTAATTAGTGAGTTTTAGAGGTGATAGAGGTGAAATTTGTTCCTTTTGGACGGCCGGGCTAGCAGGTTCCCCGCTAAGTTAGGCTAAAATTTGTAGTAATCAGTCGCAGTAAGCAAATTCAAAAGGGCTTGATGATCATTGAGTGTATTTCTGTGTGTGATTGTTACCTGGTATGGTTGGTAGGCTGAATGGTCAGACAGGAAGTCCAGCTGTCGGTCTAACAAGAATTCCACTGCTGTTACTGGCGACAACAGGCTCTTCCCCACTACTGGCTTAAATGTCTGCACACACAAAACACACAACATGTGTCAACAACAGCACAACAACAATTCAACAGTATCAGTGACATGAGTGGGATAGTTCATTTCTATAAAGCATGTGACCCAAACCTCACAACAGAATCAACTTAAACTATGTACTACAATACATAGGTAATAAACACAACATGCATAATGTATTTTGGAGCTGCAGTGTTCTATGACAAAGCACTATAAACCAAATGTCAGAACTGAGACAGAGGACTGAACTGTATGAGATTAGAGGGAGGACAAGCAAGAACGAAGATGATGAGGTGAGGCAGAGAGGGAGACAGAAGGAGAGCTCCAGAGCGAGTCTGACAGTTCAAAAGCAGTACACTCCACTACACACACACACACACACACACACAGGCTGATCGTGTGTGTCAGCATGTAGCCTGAGCAATCTGTTAGTGCACATAGCACCCCAAGTTTCCACTTCATAATGATGTGTGCTGATGTGAATGTAGCCCAGTCACACAGCTATATTCCTCATTTTGAAGAGGTTGTCTCAGGGTTTCTTTATTACCACATCACCTCCTATTTTCTATTTTATTTCCTGAAATCAGTCAGTCAAAAAGAGACAGACGCAGCAGTAATAAGTGCAAGTGTGTTTGTATGTGTGTAGCAGGGGTTAGTGGTGCTGAGATTTATGGTTACATAACATGGCCAGTCTGATAGAGTGATGAGAGATTAGAGGTGAGAAAAATGACCCCTGTCACCCCCTCCCTTACACACACACACACACACACACACCAGCACATTGTGTGTGCAAGCAAAACATGATAGTGTGTGAGTGTGGCTCTATTTTTGTCTGTCTATACATGTCACATTTCAGCCTCCACTGGCCTCATGTAGCCAGCAGCACGGGCCACGCTGCTGGACAGTATTTTTATTTATTTAAAAGAGCAAATGTCTGTTTTGTCTCCCTTTGGCAATAGCCTGAGTCATGACCAGTGTTCCATTCTGGAGCATCATCAGAACACAGAACTGGGAGTTGGTATGTTTACATGCACACTAACATCCCAGTTTTCATATAAGGAGGATAAAATGATTATGTGGAACATAAGTAACCTGGGTATTCATCTCCCTGGACACATAATTCCAACATTATCCAGGTTTCTGATTCGTGTGTGGAGCTAGCTAGCTTGCTTAGCTAGGTGCATCTGTAATTCGAGTTAACTGTCATTTTAACAGGGCTGATAAGTTTGTCTAGAGAACAGTCTTAAAACTAAATGTACTCACCAGAGAAAGTGAACAGCCAACTCCTAATACGCTTTTTCAACAGGGCTGGTTAAATTTACACAGAGCTGTGGGTACGAGTCACTCTAGCCTGATTGACAGGTCACCATGGTCACGACTCGTCAATCACAGATAATCCCGCCCTGAAGCATACTCTGCTTTATGGTCTATTTTCCTCTAAATGGGACCATAATTTACTAAATGAACATCATGCCGTGTTGAAGAAGACCTGAAACTAGAGACTGAGACCATAAACTCATTAGGAAAGTGTTTACTGGGGTAATAAATCAGCTGAGAAGTAGGGTCATTTTACCATTATTTCTAATGGAACCGGACTTCTTTTTGCAACAAGAAGTCACCCCCTGCTGGCCGTTCGATAGAATGCAGGTTTAAGGGACTTTCGCGTTTGCATCAGATCGCTGACCGGAAGCTTCCCGCTTGGGAGAAAGCAGTCAAAACACTCAATTCAAAAACAGTATGATAGTTTACCATTCCAATGGAAATTCTCACATAGCATGCTTTGGGGCCTTGTGTTATATTTGGCACATAGTGAGCAGTTGAAGAAATGCTATGGGTACCTGGACTTTTTACATTATTTAACTTTGCTTCCAGCGTATACTGGCATTTGTAGCTTTGACTCCATATGTAAGTTAGCAGGATGAATGAAGATACAGAGTTGATTCACTGTGACTTGTAGTTATGATCCATGTCTTGGCTGGATAATAATGGCACAGGAGGACATTAATTTAGGTACATGAGGGCCAGAGCAGATGACAGGCAGACCTGTATTGCTCTGGATTCATCTAGGCTCATAGAAACATTTCACTATATGGTGAAAACACGACACTTCGCATTACTGGATTTAAGATTTTAGATTTTTAACATCTAAACTCAACAGCTTCAACACAGAGCACGGCTGCCATCGATGGATCCCTGCCCTGATTCCTCTCTCAAGCTGAAAGGACATGGCGGTTCCTCCATTCCCTCTAAAATGACTTGTCCACACACACGCATATACACACACCCACACTCCACTCAACCACAATTAGGTCACATCTGCCACAGTGTACCAGGAAAGAGCATTCTGTCACTGCAAATTTCCAGACAGGCAGCAGGAGAGTGGAGGAGCAGAGAGACACATTTACTTACTGTCAATACACAACACACATTAGAACCAATGAGCCTACACAGAAACAAATGCAAACTGATGTCTCCATATTATAATGACACAGCATATACAAGCTCCCAGGCAGTAATAACATCTGAGGAGGACAGACGTGAGAAAATGCCATTCTGAGAAAGCAGATCAGTCTCCTTAGCTGTCCTGTGTGTGTGTGTGTGCGCACGCTGAATAATTGATAAGGAAAAGTGCAGCAGAATGTAAAGGAGATGAAGGGGGGAAGATGGCGCTCATGCATCTCTAAGTGACCTGGAGAGGCTACACCACACACACTAAAGCTTTGTCATGCAGGAGGCCATTATTTGATGAAGAGAGAGCGGGGGAGAGACAGACAAATAGAGTAAGAAAGCTATATTTGTAAATCAGCCTGTATGTACATCTTATAAACACCAGGGTAAGGGGTTTTTGACAAATTCGATACATTAAAAGCTTTTTGTCTGCTGCTTGGTGTCATCTGACGTGCAATCTACTCTGCGGTGTACACTTGGTGCTCACCCAGAGGCTCAGGATGTTAGAAAGTCCACATATGTGCAAAGAAAATGAAATTACTCATAAAGTCATTTGAATAACTGGTGCAACACGCACTGCAATGTACATCTAGATTGTAATCAAACTCTCACTAAAGAAAAGCTTTTTTGGAGAAAAATAGCAGGTAAGCAAAAAGCAGGTATCTAATTGGCTTATTTCACACAAATGTGTCGTGTTTTCCTCTAGGCTAGGAGTTGGTTTGGCAGCTCAAAGCACTTTACACTACAAGTCATGTTCATACACTGATGGCAGAGGCTGCCGTGCAAGGTGTCAACTGCTCATCAGAAACAGAAACTAATATATTCACTTCAATTTTCTGGCAAAGAACTAATCATGAATTGACTAATCATGTCATCAGTAATTTGAAGTTTCTTGAGCTTTCACCTAGAGCTGCACTCAGGCTCAGGGGGGTAGAGCGGGTTGGTCGGCGGTTCAATCCCTTGCTCCCCCTGGTTGCGTGTCGAAGTGTCCTTGGGCAAGATACTGAACCCTGAATTCGCTATTATGGTGATTTTTTTATTTATATAAAGAGAAACACAAAATTCAGGAGGAAGGTGACAATTCAAAATCTATAGGCTAACTATAACAGAATATAATGTAGGGCTGAAACGATTCATCGATCCATATTACTGTCGCACATCGTGCTTACGCTGTGTGAACACCACGTGATTATGATGGTGCTGTTTGCAAAGTGGAAGAAGAGAGAGAAAATAGTGAGAAGAAGAAAGTGTCCAAAGTATGGGATTATTTCAAGCTAAAAGAAAACAACAACTCTGTAATGTTACAGTCCGTCTACCTGTAAAATGAAACTTACGTCGCACGACGGTACATGATCAGAAAGCAGCCGGTGTTCTGCCAGCGGACCACAGACAAGGTAACAGCGACTAACTGAAATCATGATTGATTGTTGAGTTGAAGGCTCGCCAAAGTAAGTCACAGTCCTCAGCTGAAAATGTACATACGTGCGTTTGTGTTCTCCACCTGGTTGGGCCATAACTTCGGGTTGTAACGTCACAGTCATGAGTTAACTGGGTGTCGGGGAGCTGCACCTTAGTATAACTTGAATAGCACTTGGGGGATGTTTGTGTTGGTACGGCAGTTGTCTGGTTGTTGGTCTGTTGATGTTGTTGGTCTGATGTTTGCTGTATGACACACTAGGAAAATCAAAAACCTACTAAATATCTATCATCTATCAACGTGATCTAGTTACCAGGGTGGGGGCGCCGCACCAAGCAAAAGTACTTTTTAAACGATGAATCGATGAAATAATCTGTAGGAGCTACTAAAATCATCGTTAGCTGCAGGCCTAATATAATGCAGTGCAGCTGGACTTCCAAACACACACTCCCAATTTGAATTGTTGACACTTTCCAAACCGATCTCGCCATCTCTCTCACTTTTCAGGGAGTTAAATAAATGACATATAAACACAGACTTTATTTAACTGATTTTATACTGACAGTGAATCCTGATTACCAAAGCCGGTCAACATCTGAACTGCATTAAACCCATTTCCAGGACAAAACGTCATGGCACACCAGTTCTTCTATGTAGCAACTCAAACAGAAGAACAAGAATCAGAGTTGGAGACGATTTGGGCGATGAGCTCACATCAGTGGAACCATTCACAGCCACAGGCAGAACATACTGGCATAAGTAACATTTGAGGTGAAACAGAAAATAAAAGGCAACATTAAGGATTCATGTTTGACTGACCTATGCACCATATAATCTGTCTGCTGTGGAGTGGGGGTCCAAGATGGGTCTGTGCATTCTGACTTCTGGGGCTACCCCTACCGACTGCTAGAACTGGGCTGTGTAAATTTACTTTTTTAGACATTTTGTTGTTCAACTTTGCTCTGCAACTTTTCTGCCTAATTGTGTAGATTTAATCTGAGTGCGTGTTATTGTTGTGGTGGTAGTGGACCTTTTCTGATTCGTCAGTTGACAAATCTAGTTTGGTCTCCTGCTCTGGCTTTCTCTGTTTTATTGGATTTTAACCATTGGTATTAGTAAATTGTGCTCTGTCAGCTAA